ATTTGACCACTATTTTTATGACTAATTTGACCGGACTACTAACAAAATAAATTGTTACATTTTTAAACTAACAAAACATAAACGGAGCTTGCTCCTAAATATTTGATAATATGTGAATTCAGTGAATTACATATATTTCAGCAATTTAGAAAAACTATTTGCCGAAGAACCGTTAGCCTAATCTATGTAAATTATTTGATTTAATACTTACCTACCTTTTACTTAACTGTTTACAAAATACTAGTTTGTTTGATTTGGCATATTCTAAGCTCTAATAAGTAATTTATTCAGCGTGGCCATTAGTTTTGATAGTATCAAGTTGTTACAAATTGAGTAATTCGTGATAGAGTTCTTTTGTTATTATGTTGTTCGCTATTTTGTGAAATTTATCAATTTATCTAGTTAGTTATTCGTCAATATAATTTGGATAATAATTAATAACATATCTTGCTTCCTTGAACTTATTCATTTTTTTCCTAATTACATAATTACCTAATTAACTACTTCTGTTAAAACGAGAAAAACACCAAAATACTCATACTCGTATGTATTAGATACATCAATTGTTAGGTCACGTTGCAACAGATTTCCTGAAATTAAACCGCTTTGGGTTATTATCTAAAGGTTACTAATGACTCTGTCAGACATAAATATTCAAATATGTATAAAAAAAGAATACAAAAAGTAAATTATATAAAATGTCATAAATTACAGAAAATGTCAACAAATTATCATTAAAGTAAAATTTTCTTGTAACTTAAAAATACCACTTCCGAATGTTAGTAAAACATCAAAACTAATTCCTCCGTCGTAAATAAAAACACTTCTTCAATCTTAAGGTGCTATGTTTCCGATCGTCTCAACTAATAATATTATGAGCATTATCATATTATGAGAGAAATACTCGTAGATACAGAAATATAAAATGTTTACCACATACTTACCTATATACATGTATAAAATGAAGAAAGTTGTTTTCTTCCTTATAATTTTCTCTAGAATCTTCAGGTTATGAAAAAGGCATTTGACCCCAATCCACACATATTTGTGTTTAATTGAAACAAAAATATGTAAGTAAAATAAATCGTATTGACTTACGTTCCTATAAGTTTGCAGAGTTAGATTAGAATAACGGTGATCAAATAAATGAACAAAAATGTCAAAAAACAATAATTGTCTTCATATAATCATTCAACACAAAAGTTTTAAAACCGTGGGTTTAACTAATTAACAAAATTAGTAATATTACTTAAATTGATCTAAATAACTTTGATTTTATTATTTTAAATAAAATAGTCGGTTCAAACAAGTGCATATATCTAGGTTCCCCCTAAACTCGCGCCCCAGAGAAAAATGTCAAATGCAATAGGTGCCAAAAAGTACAGCCGAAGAAGTGACTTTTGCTTGCATAAGAAAGTTGCAGGACTCTTAAATCCACCAATTCCAGAAGGGCACCTTAGGGTGTGATTGAAAAATTATATCCGCTGCTGGGTTACAAAAATAATACCAATTTGCCTAAAAGTTTCAAAAAATAGTTGGATTACTGTAATTTTGAAATTTATTAATATTATTGACATAACACTTTTCTGGGGTTCAAGTTCCGGCGCACCTGTATTATTGCCAATGTCTGCTTTACCGCTTATTTCTTTGGAGATACAAGTGGTTTAACTTTAAAATAATTTTAGTCATTTTAAATCTTTTTCCGCAAACATTTTCGTATGACCTTTCACAGGTTACATGGCTCCAAATTCTTTCTTATAGAACAATATTGAACACAAAATCTTAAAGGTTACTTTAATTGACAAATATAAAAATACAGTATACAATCATAATGATTGCAATTAAAATACTGATGGATGGAGGCGAAGTCTAATCAGACGTATTTTTCTTAATCTCGACGTCATGATGACAGTAAAGAAATACATTTTAAGTGTCGATTTAAACTTTCCACTAACACTGGAATCTTTATTTATGTTTGCAATGAAAAAAACTAATTTTTGTTTTGTAATAAAGATATGTCCCAAAATTAACAAGAGTGGCATTAGGTATGTACAAAAAAGTTAGAGTTTAAATTTTTCAAAATTTTAGTCTGTATGTATTTATCAAATTTATAACAGGGCACTTAAATAATTTTTGAAAATGTATGAAATAAGAAGAATTATGGTAAAACCGGTGGAAAAGTGGTGGTTAAAAGGAAATATTCCAAAATTGCTTTAATTGTCCGTGTGTATTTGTGGGTAAATTTGTTTTGTCAGTTTACTTTAGCACGTTTACAACTTCTTAACTGTCTTTCAACGTTTCATGAATTATTAAAAATTCCACAGTGAACCAACAACCTAATTGTTATGGGGTTTCCTATAATTTTTCTAAAGAATACAATTGCTCATCAATTAGTTAAATATAATGCTAATAATTTGAAGGTTACCGAAAAATAAGAAGTGGTTTAAAAGTTCAAACAACATTTATCTTCTTGGGCCATCTTCACGTTTCACGCAAATTTGTACAGTTAGTAGAGTGACTGAAAAGGTTATTTTGATTCAGGACAGTGATAGCAATTCAAGTACGCAGCAAAAATGAAAATGGAAAATAAAAATCAAAATTACTTACCTATAATGGTAACTACCGCTTTCCGCCTTTAAGACGAGTACGCCTTGATAATATTTTTAATTTTCAATAAGAATTGCCAAGTACATACAAGAAACCGCAGACATAAAAGCTGCCAAAATCGAATTAGTTGCAAGTTAAGTGTTTAATAAAGTGTCACTAGGTATAAACTTGTATAATGTGTTACGTTTTTCATTACTTTGTATAATATTTGTTTTAAAAGCAATGAGAAATATTATGTCAATCACTTGCTTAATCATCTATTCAGATCTCATCTAATGACGAAACTTTCATCATATTTGATAGCTGAAATTGGTGTATTGTATAGTTCTTTCTTCTCATGCTCTGAAACCATTTATATAATTTTAGATCTTTATATAATACCACAAATTACGAAATAAACAGAAAGAGTGAAAAAAACAACGATTTAAATATTTGTGTTATATACAATTAATTTCTAATTGGATTTTTATAATTTGCAGAACCTGAAAGCTTTTGTTGTACATCCTTCTATAGAGTCTAGTATTATGTGGTTTCGAATAGTTCATTTTTCTTGCTGTAGGTACATTTATCAAAAAACTCAAATTATGAACATACCAACCTACTCTTCTGTTATTTATAGTCAAAAATCTTTAAGTCATGTTATACCGAAATGAACTTCCTAGAAAATGCAGATTTTCTATCGAAAATATTTTAATTGTAGAACCTTAAAAGTTCGAATTTTGTTATTTGTTTTCTTCGTTATCTTTAAAAAGATTTTGCATAATTTGCTTCTATGTACTCGTAAATAAAAAACACTAAGTTCAATATTAATTTTCATGATAAATATTAATCTTAAAATATGTAGTAGGTATCCGAAATTATTTACAATTTTTTTATTCTCAAATGTATTTTTTTAATTGGAAAAATAAATTTTGCATACTGTAAAAGCAAAATTTGAAATTCACATAAGTACTTAATTAATTTTATGCAAATCAACTTTATTATACTTAATTTGAATTTTAAGACTTAAGTCGCCAAGACGAGACTATTGTTATCAAATAATTTTATGAAACCTTCTGTAAAGTTTTTAATTGTTTTTCTTTTATTAATGTAGGTAAATATTTTCTTGCCGTTTACTTATGTGGACGCAAAAAAATAAATAAGCTCTCCTTTTTATTAAATTTGCTATAAATTCCTTCTCAAGTGAAAAGGTCTTTTGTTATTAAAAACATAAAAACATGATTTCTTATTGATATTTTGTTTTTATTCCAAATATTAAAACATTTTATTGATAACAGTAACTAACACTAATCTCAAATCGCTCACAAAAAATATTGTATGATTGTTATTCTAATCAACATTCAGCACGAAGTTATTCTCTTGATAACATTTTATTTGCATTTTTAGTTCATTTAATCTTAAATAGTTAAAATATTTTGTTTTTTTATGAAATTATTTTATTACTTTCCTATTAAAATTACATTATAAAATGAGTTTTTGTTTTTCAACCACTACTTTTTATTGGAAAAAAATACAAATACTGGATGTTTCTAGAAATTCTAAAAATAGTGGAAAGAAATAATATATACTTTATATGTATAGGTTAAAATGGAAGAGTTTGTGATTTAAATAATAATGTATAAAAAAATGGTTCATTTATTTTTAAAAAAGTGTCTGATTTCCCACCACAGCAAAATTGTTTATTAGATTGGAGAAATCCTAAAAAATGTTTCAAATATTTTAAGTTTTTATTGGCAGATGGTATTAAAACTAAAGGGTTTTAAAATTTTTTTTCTGAAACTCATAATTTTTTTTTTGTTAAGAAATTAAATTTAGAATGTCTCAAAATTTTAAAGTACGATTAACGTAACTAACTTGTTTATTAATCAGCAAATAATAATGTCAATAATTAATGTTATAATAATATTGTATTTGTTTTGAGTCACTCTCATAAACAAACTCATTCGTTAAATGATCATTAAACAATTTCTACAAGTATGAAGAATTTAAAACAGTGGAGGTGCAGGTGATACTCTTATACTGTTTTTGGCCATGATTTTGAGAAGTGTTTATAAATTAGAGGAAAAAAAGTTGGGAAATCCCGTTTTTGCTACACTTCCCTTTCAAACTTACATTACATTATTCTAATTAAGAATGTAGGTATTTGTCCATTTAAGTTTTGCATGACGCTGAAACGGTTTGTAATTTTTGATATGAAAAAATAAACCTGTTTTAAAAGTTTGCATAATTAAAAAAATATCTGGGCGTTAAATCGCTTATTGAGAACCTATAATCTAGACAGAAATTCCTACATAGGTATGATAATTTGTTCACAACCAGTCCTTTTATTAATCCTGTTCGTCTCCCACTTGCCAAAAGCCGAATGCACTGCAAACGCATCTACGACCCGAAGGCCGCAATCCTTCCCCTGTTGGCTTCGCCGAAAGAAGTAGCGACCTCGCTCTCCTCACACTGTACAAGTTTCTTGCAGGAGACGATTTGGAATCAGTAGTGTGCACCGAAGCACTCGAGCAATTCCACCAGACCAGTGTCGGGGTGTCATCATGATTCCTCTAATTGTTATTGCCGGAATGGTCGCGATGTCAGCAGTACCTGCTGAATTCTACGAGAGCAGATACGACCACCTCGATGTCGAAAGCATCCTCAACAATAGAAGAATGGTCAATTATTACGCGTCTTGTCTGCTTTCCAAAGGGCCGTGCCCTCCACAAGGGGTAGATCTTAAAAGTAAGTCTTGACATTCTTTCTCGAATTTTTCAGTGTCATGTATTTCCGGTCAATTTTATTATTATTGCACTTACATAAGTGAATGTCAAACTTGTGTTGGCGCTAAATGGGTATTTCCTAAAATTTCGGTAGTGAAAGTTCATAAATTATACCAAAAGACGTTTAGTTTACACTTCGATTCGACAACAATGTCTGATAAGATCTAGACCTTTCACTTAAGATCGCCTGAAAAAATTATGAAGGTTGTTTTGACCTATTACAAGTTTACATGTTTATCGTTTTTATTAAAGTTTAAATGCAACGAAGTGCTATATCCGACTATTTATCATTCTTAAGATAAACAATACTTTCAAAAAATCGCAAATAAAAAAGTAGGTCTTCAACAGCCGTTCAAAAATTTATGCTAATACGATTTTTAACTCCTACGTAAAAGATTGTTGATAGATTTCAGAGGTTGGATTAGCAGTTCTTTTCTTGACCAAGCATCATTATTATGTCATTTCATAATTAACATTTTTGTGGTGTTAAATTATCATAACTTAATTTTTTGTGACATTTATTTAATTGTTGACAATATTGCATATCTAATATGTAACATTACGGCAGTAGATAAACTTATTGAAATGTTGATAATTTTTTACAAAACTAAAGTGTTGTTGACATCACTATTTTTATTTACAGTCATCTTCCAAGTCGTAAGAACATAATATAAAAATTGTAAAAGGCCAAGGTTAAGTTCATGATAAATGCCTTGATTTAAGTATTAGACATCTACTTTTAAGATAGTGGTAATTTATTAATAAATAAAAAAAACTAACTAAACACAAATAAAAGCGTGTAGTTAAGGCTCATCTCACTTAAAAACAAGACTTTTAATATTTCTCTTAAATGTACAAAAAATATTTTTTGGGTTTTTTGAGATATTTGTTCTTTCATTTTTGATACATTTTCATTTACACTTTCAATGGTATGTATGAGTGTGTAACAGATACACTTTTTAATTTCTTTATAGTGAATGATAAACAAAAGCACAATTAATTTACAGTTTTTATTTTATATGATGGTTACAATTTTTAGAAAAGAAGGAAATTGTCATCAATGTATTAAAAATATACTGTTTTTTTATGCTAGGCCTTATTTAGGTATACAGGATGCGCCAGAACTCGCGCCCCAGAGAAAAAGAAAAAAAAACAAAAATTTTTCAGTTTTTAGGCTTTTTTTAATCGATGTTGTGAGCTACGACTCCTCGGAGAACTCCACTAACAAAATTTTAAATTATATTTTGTTTTTATGTAATTTTAAGCTGATGGTACAATGCGTATTTATTTATTTATTTAGCCAAAATTTTTTGGTCTAAATTTAAATAAATCTCTATGTGGATCCCATTTGAAAAATAAATACATATTTGGCTGTCATCCATAGTAAATTATATGACCTACTGTTATACAAATAAATTAATAGAATAAACAAATAGAACAAATACGCAGCTAGTAAAAAAAATAGGTGGGTTTTTTAAAAATTAAAATTGATAAAAATACAGGGTGCGCCAGAACTCGCGCCCCAGAGAAAAATGCCATATAAGGTAAGATACCAGGAATATGGAAAAAATGTTAAAAAAATTTTATCTATAAAAATTTCGAAGTTATGAGGGTTTAAAGTTTGCATTTTGACTCTATTTATTTCTGTTGGAAAAATAATTTTCCAAGTTTTTTTGTTATAGGCTATTAAAAGCGGAAACAAGGAAGCTGTATTCTAAATTGTAACTCTTTTCAATGTTATTTGTGGCTTTTATTGGCAAATTTTTTGTCCCTTTACTAAATAATTGTAAAAAAACATATACAAGATCATCAGTATCTTTAAATAGATATAAAAAAAAATGTCAAATGTCAAAAAATAAATGTCAAAATTTTTTGACAGATGGAATTTTTTAAACATTTTTTTCATGTTTCTGGTATCTTACCTTACTTGAAAATTTTCTCTGAAGCGCGAGTTCTGGAACAGCCTGTATAAAACTGCTTCTTTTTTCTTTTAATTTTTTATCTTTTTTTAAAAAACATTTTGACATTTTTGAGATTTTGATCTAAAAAGCTTAGTTGAGATATCCTAAATAATAATGTAAACGTACTATACACAAACTGGAATAGAAGATCCATATTTTACGAGTACTTACCATTTTTAACTGTAATTAAACGCTACTTAAATTTTGGCTGTAATTTACTTGCATGACATTGTAATAGCAATTGTAAATGGATCTTTTTGTAACACATTTTAAACTTTTTATTGATTATATGTCATTATAAAATTTTTACGTTTCCTATTATTAAGGAGTTCTGTTACCGGTTTAAAAAAATGTCATTTTTAGGTATACACTAACTGCATTAATAATTTTGTACAGTTAGAATTCAGTTATCCACTTACACAAGTACATACATAAATAGTATAAAACAATAATAATTGAACTTGTTTTCTGTATAGTGTATAGGTACAGAGTAATTCAAAAATATGGGACCAACTTTTGAATGGTGATAGAAGACTTTCAGCTCAGCTAGTCATAAAAATTATGTCAGATTTTTGTTTCAAGCTTTTTTTTGGAAAAAAAAAACAGAATTATCAATTTTCATATTATTACGTAGGCATCTTAGTTTTTTGTTTCCGATGTTGTTAGATTTAATTTATTGTTGAATTTGCTAGTTTGTTAAATGTTTTCTACACTATAAAACACAAGTTGTTGATTTTTTTTAACAAGTTTTTGTTTAACGTTACGTTACGTTTTTGCTAACTAAATTTAGGAATACACAATCGGAACGGAAAAAAAACTTGATCTAAAATGTAATCTTTAAAGAGCTATATCTTGTGAGAAAAGGCTCAAATAGTTTTTTGTCATGGGAACTTTTAACTCAATTGGATGTTCTTCATCACCACCCAAGGGATGGTCCGACACTTTTGAATCATCCTATAGAAAGAATAATGTAAGTAATATCAATTTATTATGATCCTTTATCTGTCGTCATTGATAAGAGAATTACAATGCTTTAGCAATTTCGGTTTAATTACATTTAGTATTAATATTATCAAAAATTCACAGTATTTCAACAATTCGTAGAAGCAATTATTACTGTTAATTAGCTTATTGTTTATCACATTTGAAAGATTGGCTGTAATCACTGTGAATGTGACAAGACCTACAATTCTTGCAGCTGGATTAGTGCATTATTTAACATTTCTCAAGAATGACTCACTTTAGAGGCCATGCACATGATCACAATTTATACCTCTTTTATCAGAAATTTTTATCTGTTTTGTATAACACAATGTTTTGTAAACACACTACCTTATTTACTAATTAAATTTCCCTGTTTTGTTAACATTATTCAATAACAAACATTTCAAGAACAGAAAAAGTTTGTTTGAGTTAAGCATAATTTACAATTATTATCAGTATAATTAGCATAATTGATCAAGAAATAAGAAATGAAACATATTATGATAGAGATTTTTGAAAGTTGAACTTTTGCCGAGATAAAATTTCTCCAATGAAACAAGTAGCGCAACTTGATAAAAATAAAGTAACACTGGAACAATTTTAATTCGATTTCACTTTAATCTCAAGGATACCTTTCCTTAATTACACGGTTTTAAAAACCAACAAAATTTAATTACCTAACTTCAGAATAAGCAACTATACAAAATTTTTACCAAAGCGATGCGAATAACTAAATGCAGGTTTTGTGATTCTGTATAAATTAGCATGATTGTTGTGACTCCGAGACAGCTAAGGTCACACAAATTATATTGGCCATGGATGAGTCCACCTCGCAGACAATAAAACAAAACTATAATTATCAAGATTTTTACTAGATTTTTTTTTCTTCTTAACTCGCAATAGGAGAAACCATTGTTATTATGGCGCATCCACCATTTTTCCGTCTAAGCACATTTACATCTATGTATTTAATTATTATTATTATTACCAAAATGTTACAAAGGTTAGGTGTGTTGTATTTAATTACTTCATTGTATACAAATCTTGGTGGGCGAAAATATGTTAAAAGTAAATAAAGGTTGACGCATTTAAGTTAATTATTATTCAAAACAGCTAGTTTAAATAAAGTTAGAACTAAACAAAGTAAATTAAAATGATTTAAATAATTTGTTAGCTTTGCTAATAAATAATTCCAAGACCTACAGCACACAAAGTGAAATTTAAAGACAACATTTAAAATACAAAACGTTCTTATACATTTTACTAAAACAATGTGTGAACTAACAATTTCCTTACACAACTCAGCGACATGAATCAAATAATTTATCGTCTAAGACGGTCATTTAAATGCAGAAATTAAATCGATAGAAAAAAAAACACGCAACACAAACAATAAAGTTGGCAATCCTGGAGACATTACGCCAACAATAATAACAATGTATTAACTAGTTTCGCAGCGATTGACATTTTTCCCATCAAAACGCCACTTCCTGATGCAACCACAAATATAATTGCATGACAAACACTCAACAATACCCTCCTCTTTTGAATAATGCAACAGCAAATCCAATCTTGTCATAACTATTTTTAAAAAGATATTTTGTCGTACAGGGGTTCTCCCAGAGGCTCTCCAAACCAACTGTGCCAAATGCACCGAAAAACAGATGGCGGCTGCCTATCGCTCTGTCAAACGCCTGAAAAAAGAATACCCCAAAATCTGGGAACAGTTGCGAGCAGTTTGGGACCCCGATGATATCTACATCAGAAAGTTTGAAGCAAATTTCGAATCTGGGAAATCTTCAGGTGTCACTAGTACCAACACTGCTCCTCCAACTCCAATACTGTCCAATCGTTTTGGAGAGAATGATGAAAACGACGCTGCCACCAACGTCATCTCTTCAACACCCCCTCCCCCTACTACTAGTACTACTACTCGCACTACTTTAATCACTAAACTTACTACTAAACCTACTACTAACCCTACTAACAAACCTGTTGTAACAAAACCATCACAAGCGCCACCGTTTGCGACCGTTGGGGCTAATCTCCAAGCTACGGTGAGTTTTGGTACTAACTTAGTTGGAGGCATTGTGCGTAGCTTAGGTACTTTGGGTTCGAGAGTGGTCGAGTCGGGTACTAAACTGGCCAATATGGTTATTTCAGCAGCTTTAAGGCCTTAAATGTTTACTTAGTAGATAGGTTTGTGTTTGTTGTGTCACTAATCCACCATCACCATTTTAGGTCACATTCATGGCGGCACTAAAAAAAATTGTTATCCAGTTGTACCAACACAAACTGGAAATTATTAACAGAATACTATCTGGGAGATAGGACTTAACGCTGAAGAGTGAGGAAGAAGGATGTCCTTTTTTTGTTATTTGTCATTGTCTCATTAGTTAGGACTGTTAGAGTCATGCCATTTCAAATGTCATCTTTCAGATAGACTGATTTTTTTTAATAGGGGTCTGAATTGGCTGTGCACATGTCAAATTACGACGTTACTTAAGTAATATATAACGTCGGATTCAAGGCATCGAGGTCATGATTTGACTCCATGGCCGCCATTCAAATTTTATTCGACAGTCAAAGATTCAGATATCAGGTTATCTTTATTCTAGTCTTTGTAATTGGCTTATTGCACAAAAATACAAACCAAGGCCTAATAATGCATTCAAATCTTAATAAAGCTTTTTACGTAAACTAACAAAATCTAAATTGCCCCCAAAATTTATTTATTTATGAAGCCTGATACTCAGTTTTGCAAAAAACCGATGTAACTCTTAAGTCATGTGATATTCTTGTATGTAATTTTAACTTTAGTAGTAAATTGTATAATTAGTTGAATAAAAAACAAAATATGATTAAGTAGTTTTTTTTCTGTTTTCAAACTAATTATTCTACTATGAAGATGAAAACATCGAAAAAATCATCAAACACATAAATCAAAATTTGACTAGCATATTAATAACAGTAATTATAAACAGGTATTGACATTAGGAAAGTTCCAGCACCCCTGGACCAAATCTGATTGTGCTTATTGAGTTTTAATCGAGACTAGTGGACCTTGAAATGTAAATTTAAGACCGAAAATTGAATAATTTAAAGAGCGGATTAAATGAAAAAGACGGGAGCATGGGAACAGTCGACTTAAAAATAAATGAAATCCTGAGAATTTTTGCCAACATTTATTATGTGCGAAAGGAAAATTTAGGTTAAATGGTGCAGATCAATTGTAAAGGTTTATTTCATAAAAGAAGTTGGTATTTCGTGGGAAGTGTATTGCATTACGTAATCTGGAACAACAAAAAAATATCAGGTATCCAGGTCTGTTCTTTATGAATTATATGAAAAAAATGGAATTTTGTTAACGAAAAAAAAAAACAAACATTTATTTCTATTTTTACTATACTGTACCTATGTACAAGACAAGTGTATTGTTTATTATTATTAATAGAACTGTTGTTATCGAAACATTTAAGTCGACAATGTTGTGTCTCAATTCTTTAAATTATCAAAGAGTCCTCAGATTTATTAGAATTTAGTATAAATTATGTGAATAACGCATTCGTAAGGATTTTATTTTATTACGTACAGCTACATTAAAAAAAACAGGAAATTAAATTTTTCCAAATGTAAATATGTTTCTAGTCGTCAGTTATCAGTTTGACAATACTTATCAAAAATATTTCTATCAATGTCATCAAATTTATACCAACTTGTGCAATGCCGCATTTAAGTGAAGTAGAGGAAGTCAAAATCCTGGCTCACCTGGAAAATGGTAGGAAAATTATAGGAAAAAGTACCATCGGAAGAATTAATAAAAAGTGGGTGAAACGCAAGATGGCTTTGGAATGCCCTAAAAGTACAAATAATTAACTATTAAGTTGTTCAGTTTGTTATTAAATTTGAAAATATAATTTGTTCAAATATAACCTATTTATATTTTAACATGACATCAAAATATTTTTAATAAAACACGTTCACACCATGGAAACATTGAAAAAGAAACTCTATTTTTTTGACATTTCCCGTTTTTCTTAAAGTAGCTGTGTTACGTAGGTAGACATAGTGTAGATATCTAAAAAATTTATTTGTATATTAGGAAAATGAACAGTTTTTACATAAAATTAGTTATAATTTAGAAAACTTTGCATAATGTAAATGCTTTTAAAAACTACTTATACAAAACCCTTAAACGATTGTTATTATGTGTTGTAATCAAACGTGGCTATAATCAATTAAAATGCAGTTTACTTCATTTATTTTAAACCATTTTTTTCACGTTAACTTTTAGAACAGTTTCAAAGTACCTTCTGAAACATCTAAATATAATTATTATTATACATTATTATATATTCTCTTGTTTTTATTAAAAACAACCTTCATACACCTCAAAAATAATACCTTTTCGAAAACTTCTTAACACATTTGACATTTTAATTGATGCAAAAAAATTGATAATTTTTACCATAAAAAGCTTAGAAGTAAAAAATTCCTGAATCTTTAATCAATTTACATTACAAATGTGTGTCTAGTCACGAATGCAAAAATTATTCAGGTAATAATGTTTTTTTTTAATTTTAATTATAGTTTATTTGTAGATTTGATTCTAAATTAATATTGTCAGTCTATGCATGTTTTCATTATACAATTCAACTGTAGGTTCAAAACAATAGTTGTCAAAACAAATATCCTATCATTTTGCCACCATGTGTAACAAAAAATTAATTAAATATTTTGATGTCGAAACATTTATGCAGTTTTTAAGAAAATTTTGGAGTTCCCCAAAATAATTAATTGAAATTATTGTAATTATGCATAATAAATTTTTAGAAAAACCACATTGTAAAACTTTACGTAGTAGAACTATTATGCAACTCTAATTTCTAAAATCTGTAATCTTAGCATTGATCTCAGTAAATACGGGGAATAGGAAATCCACCATACGAGTATATTTAAATAGCTGTATAGTATATTGTAAGCGAAATCTTAAAATAACAACAAAAAATGTTTAAAGTTATTTCCAAATGTCAGACGCGCCTTATAATTTAGCAAGTTTTTTTCATTGAACGATTAAACCATGTAACTGGTTTAGAAGACTACTGGTGAGATCAATAAACCAAAATTTTAATCTAAAAAATTTTACTAGCTTCTTATTATAAGCTATTAAATTGTAAATACATACCTACAAAGTGAGCCTTAACTTATACGCATTAATTTAAGGTTAAAAGGTTGTAATCAATAATATGTAAAAAAATGAAAACAAGTTAAATAGAATTTTTTATTTTTGTTGAATGTCAAATTTCAAAAACTGAAAAGATTTATTATATATTTTTTTTCATCTTTATTTGATATTGCTGTTTTCTCATGTTGTTTTCTATTCTATTACCCCATACTCTTATAATGCCGACCATTGTATGGACTACCACTTTAAATGTTTTGTTTGTATGTTTTTTAAAACACAAATCGAAATGGAAGTTTTAATAGTCGAGTTTTATCGCTTTTTTTAATATGTATGCAAAACAAGTTATTTTAAGGCTTAGGTTTATTTAGTTTAAGTCAAATCATTTAAAAAGAATAAGATTATCTTTTACAAGTTAAAATCAACTCTTTAAAACCCACCAACTACAAGTTTGATTTAAGAAAGACGTGATGTATAAAAAACGATTATTTAAATGTACCTAGTTATGTTGGTCATATCTCGTAAATTTTTAGCTAATTAATTATAATAAGCAAAGTGTATTCAATTGTTTAGACATTTTTAAGCAACTGCATAAGTATACAGAGTGTCCCATCTAAAATTTGCAACTCCCAAATTCTACTTATTTAAAGCTCTGGGCAAATTGGTATTATTTTTGTAACCTAGCAACGGATATAATTTTTCAATCACATCTTGAAGTGCCATTCTGGGATTGGTGAATTTAAGAGTCCAATAACTTTCTAATGCAAGCAAAAATTACTTCTTCGGCTGCACTTTATGGCGATCTATTACCGATGGCACTTGACATTTTTTTCTGGAGCGCGAGTTCTGGCGCATTTGTATATTATAGTCAAAAGCACAGAACGTTAAAAGCAGTCTAGAAAAATTGTTGACTTTTAAAATTCAAACATTACCAAAAATTACGTCACGGTGATAGTATCTGAACCTCGACGAAATATGTATCTAAAAATTTATTACAATTCATCTCACTCTTACTACTTTTTTAAAAATAAAGTATCAAGCATTAATAATAATTTAAAAAAAACGTGATTAAATTATAATATAATAGGTGTAGATATAATAGGTTCATCTTATGTATAGGACACCTTCTCAACAACTTCTTCCGCTAATTTATTATTATTAATAGATCAAAATAGTTAAAAACATTTAAAACATAGTATACTTACATTAAGTTTGCGCATACTGGTTTATTATGTTTTAACAAAAAATGCAAAACAAGTAGAAAAAATTTATGTACCTAAATATTTTAGTACCTCTTTCATAATATGGAAAACGTCGCCTTATTTGCTAAAATTAGAAGAAAAAAAACAGTAGTGAAAAATTTGTATCTTTATCTAACAGTCTGTTCTAATTATTACTCTGTTCACTAATACAGAATCACCTACAAGCTTTCATATGTATATGTCGTAGTCATTGGGCATAATGCGTCATTCCGCGGAAAGCCTAGTCTTTGGCCGTACTGCCGGCAGACGCTGTTGTAATCAAATGAATATTCCTTTGTTTGACTGAAATTTTACGTTATTTCAGGGATTGCCTACTTAATTCTCGTCAAACAAAGTAACCGGTTAAAGCATTACATGTTACAGCGTTTGACGGAAGTGTATTTAGTCATTTGCTGAAAGCTTGAAATTTTATTGTGTAGTATTTCGGGCCGTAACATTTAGTAATTGTTGGACTTTTCTTATTGAAAATGGATAATCATAAGAGTTTGTTTTACGAGTATGACAAATTAAATGAATATTGTTTGAAAAACAAAGATGCCAAAAAACCGTGGAATTATGAAGTAATGAAGGAGGTAAAAGACTTCTAACCTCAAAATACACCTTTATTTCAATTGTACATATTTTAGGCTGCAAAAGATATTTCTAAAGAATATATTTTTATTTTTGTTTAATTTACCTGAAGGCAAAAAATACATTTTTAACTGTTGTTTAGGTCATGTACTTACCGTTTTTTGTATGATTTTATAATATTATATGTTTACATTATTCGAAATAAACGAAACAAATATTTGCTACAATAAAAATATTTTAGTTTTTTTTCTTTTCTTTTCTTCTACCAAAAATTTACATTTCTACAGAAAGTATCAAACATTTCAAGACTTTTCAGCAAATGACTAAATACACTTTCGTCAAACGCTGTAACATGTAATGCTTTAACCGGTTACTTTGTTTGACGAGAATTAAGTAGGCAATCCCTGAAATGACGTAAAATTTCAGTCAAACAAAGGAATATTTATTTGATTACAGCGTCTGCCGGCAGTACGGCAAAAGACTAGGCTTTCCGCGGAATGATGCATTACGCCCAATGACTACCACATATATACAGGGTGAATATAAAGTATGGAAACAAGCGGTTTTATTTTTAATCATTTACCTCAAGAAAATAATAATTAATATAAATTAAAGTAATATAAAAAATGTGATCGTATTTTCAGAACGAAATTTTGTTTTGTTTTTGAGTTATGCGATTTTTTTTTGTCAAAATTGCAATTTATGTGAAAAAATTTTTTTGAAAAAATTAAATATAAAGCAGATAGTTGTAATCCTTAGAGTATAGCTTTTATGAGAAAAATGATTTTATAGTGGGTTGCCATTTAAATTTTTTTTTTTTGTAGAACTCAAAAACAAAAGAAAATTTCGAAAAATTTTATTCTTGTTAAATCATCACGTTTTTATAGTACTTAATCACTCTTCAATTAGTTTCTTCAAGAAATAAATAGTTTAAGCAAAAAATGTTTGGTTCCATACTTTTTATTCACCTGGTATATTCATATGTATATTATTGTAATAAACAAAACTCATAACTGGAGACATTAGAAGCCAATCAGTGGTTGGCATAAGTGATGTTAACAGTTTAGTATTTAAAAAAATTGTTGTATAAAAATGCTTGTAAATGTAAAAAATATAATCTTTATTGAAAGAGAATTGATACCTAATAAAGTATGCCTTACATGCATTTCCAACTGAAAGATTTAAAAATACAGTGTCTTCTGAATCACATAAATGATTTTGAGAAAAATTGTGACTTACACTAGTCAGAATCCAATCGGTTTCTGAGCCTTTCAATTAATAGATAGGTAATAATCAACAATTCATAAAATGTTAGACAAAAAAATGAAATCTTTGGCCATGTCTAAAAAGCACGTCCATTCTTAGAATCAAATTAATTTTGAATATTAATAGTCACATCTCGTATTTATGGTTTCTTATTATATAAATTCTTGGTAGCCATCTATGGTGACAAGGTTATAAATTCAACACTCTCGCTTCCGATTATGTAGGTCAATAAACGATATAATCAACGAAATGCAATAATATTTCCCATTCGAATCACGTGCCAACTGTTACTTTCCTCTAACCCCCTTTTAAACTTCACTGCTTATAAGATGGATGTAAATACAAAACTCACATTTACCGAACAAGACGTATACCATGAAACTTATCAGTGCTGTGATACTTTGCGCCTTTTTGGTGGCAGTTTTGGGCGCAGAAAACAAATACACCAGCAAATACGACAACGTAGATGTTGATAAAATCCTCAATAATGACAGAGTTTTGACGAATTACATCAAGTGTTTGATGGACGAAGGGCCGTGTACTTCCGAAGGACGAGAACTGAAAAGTAAGTATAACTTTTATTCATAATTCCTAATAATATAAAAGATTTTTGAATAGACTTCAAATATGTGTTTAGTTAGTGTTGTGTAAGCAAAACATTTTGACAAAAATGGAAATAACTTGTGGAAACCAATTCTTGAGTAATATTTGAAGGAGTCGATTTATTACAAAACCACTTTCTCTGTCGCTTTCTCTAGAACACCCTCATTTATGGTCGATACGACCGGTTTTATCGTTTTTATTTGATTTTTGTTTACTTTTTTAGCATAAATTAATGTATTGAGGACAAGGAAGCAAAATTAATTATTATTTGCATTTTTCTTCGTGGCTTATTCTTGGAGTAAATTTTCAGCCTGAAGTAAATCAACGATTTTTTTCATGATTGTTATCCACTTATTACAAAAAATGGCGTTGAAAATTTTATTAACATTTAATTATATAGCTAGAATTTAGGCGTGTCAGGCTGTCAGGATAAAAATATTGAAGTCACTATTAATAATATCTATCTATGAATAAATAGGTAAATTTACGATGAAATATTAATTATCTTCTGACAAAAACATTTTTTTACATTTTATCAATATTGATAATAATTAAAATTAATGATTATAACATTTTATTTTACATAAAGGAATCCAGGGTAGAATGAACTTTTTCGCCCAATATCACGTACGACAGCACAACCACAAAATTCGAATTAATAAAAATGCCATAATTATTATGTACGGTAAATTACATTAAATATTCTAGTTCTCCGTAGCCATATGTTCAAATTAATGATTTTGTTCGCATTTTCGAAAATCGAAATATGTACTATATTTACCTACTGTAGATAATCATGAAAAACATACATATCAACAAAAGAAGATGCGATTTTTTAAGTTAATTGCAAGGTTGTCACCGATCATTTTTGATAAAATGAGAAACTTATTATCAACTACTTGAAACCTATATGAAATTTGAAAAAAATTATAAAAATTTTATTAATGCCAATTTTACATACATTTTTAATTAATTTTTAATGTATTTAGGGCCAGTTTCATAATCAAATTAAAAGGACTTTAAAATGTGAAATTTTTGTCAACAAGTTCGTATTAATCAACATATTCTAAACAACATTTAATTTAATGCTCTTTTAAATTCGATTATGAAACTGGCCCTAAATACATTAAAAATTAATTAAAAATAAATTACCAACTATTGACTTATTTAGTGCGGTTTGATGCATATTTTATAAAAAAAAATATACAGTTAATTCTCTTTTTCAAATGCTAATTCAAATCAAAAGTTTTTCATTTCCCCAGCATCTTTATTTTTATGATTTCTGGAGTGTAGGGTTGAGGACAAGTTGGTTTTCGTTAATATCAGAGGAGCAGACTTTTAAAATGCAGTTTGTCCATGTTTTTATGAATTAAGATAAAGTTTTTTTGTAAGATGCCTAAGTACTCCAGCTGTAAAATTATAGTGTCCAATTGTGTTCAATGTGTACATATTTTTTCACTTATAATTACACGAGAGCTTTTTTTTTTCGAAGTAAACTTGACATTTTAATGAGAATTTTGTTTCCTGGCGATTTAACGAAAAAAACTGCTTCTGAAAAAATTACGAGTCCGTAGGACCCTAAAAGAGGTGTGGATTGAGGGTGATTCGTCACTAGCGCTCGTGGTTTAGTTTTCTTACATGATAATGAAGGGTTATTCTCTATTCAGCATTTGCGCGCCGGATAGGATTAGCCTTTACCTTATGTCCGACACTTCCAGTTATTATTTAAATAATAGTTGGTTTCCGGGTGAAGGCCGAATTGGTTTTCGCATGGGCGAGTAGATCAAAGTACAGGCATGTTTATATTTTGGCTTTAAAGCTGGTAGTAATGTTCAAATAACTATTGTCTTGAAAATTATTTAAAACTGTTAAAAATACTTGAATGTTTTTTGAATTAAATGCCTGGCATGCATTTGTGGTTCTTTGCAAAAATACCAAATTTTTAGCCCACCCATGATGCGAAAACTTCTGTTACAAAGTTTATGACTAAATAGTCTATAAATGCTGTTACATCTCTGTTTGGTGGCTGAATTTCAGTAAGATCGAAGGATAAACAGTCTCCAACCTCTTCAGAGGGCAAAATGGGTAGGTCAAACACATATTATGTGAGATATTTTGAAATTTTGGAGTCAATCACAAGCACGAGCACTTGCGGTCGCCTTTTAAAATTGCATTCCTATTATCTTAATACTTAAATCCGTTTAACTGACCAACCGACTGAAGGGAACAAATTCAACCATGGCCCAGGAACCAACTCGGCTTTAGTTAGAGAGGATTACAAAATTGGGGAACCAGCTTGACACGTTCCAGTAATAAATATGTTTAAAACAGTGTATATTTTTATCGTACAATAATAACGTTTTACCAACATTTTTGTCTAAGAGCAAGCCTCCGAATGTCTGTTATTGAATTCAAAAAGCACACAAGAGAAACTCATGTCATAGACTATTTATTATTCACTTCTTAAATCCATGACTTTTTAAAATATTTTGTTTTACTTATAATAGAGATATAGTACCTATTTATCGATAAATTGTTACATGTTTACCTAAAAAAATCAAAATCCTGCAACAAACACTAATTTTTGTGTCTTGTATGAATGTAATTAATTATTTTTTTCCAATTTGATTGTGAAAAGCAACCGTTGTGATATGTCATTTTAGTTGTCAAATGTGCTTAATTTTATAACTAGTTATAAAATATGACTTTATTTTATCACTAGTGTTAAAATAGCTAAAAATAGCACTATTGTCATAGCGACGCTCCGACATTAGTATGATGTTGGAAAATTATTGAAATCACAGATTTAAAATTCGAATTTGATGCCTACGCTTTTCACAACCAAATTGAAAAAGTCTTGTATGAAAAACGATGTGAAATAGTTATTTTTTGCACACGACGTGTTGGACCACGAGTGTAACGATATCTTTGGAGCGCGAGTTCTGGCGCACCTCTATATCCAGAGATCAAGATAATTTGTAATCGAGTTATCTTTGGATAACGTATGATTTTAATGATGATTTTAATAACTAAATTTGTGATTTACCTTAACAAAAGAACGGTCCTGTTATTATACGTCGGCGACTAATTTCAGACCATTTTGTCGTTTTAACTTTCCACCTGTCATTTTATTTGACGTTTCACGTACAGTTAGTTTCAAAACAGACATACAGTGATGGACAGTGAATTTCATCCACCCAATTTACTTGACAGATTAAAAGTGTAAATTAGTCTTTAGGTTTTCCTAACCTTGTTTCAGAATTTTGATTAACGTTTGTCATGTTGACAATAAGCTCGATAATTCTTGCTACTTTTTACCTTTGTCCTTTGAAATGGTAGTCCTTGGTATGCACAAAAGTATAGAGACACGTCTTTGAGACATACCTTCTTATACCAGAGAGATAATTTTTATTTTATTAAACGCACTTACTGCTGGCATGTTCGAATTTGATTAAATTTGACAATATGTATTTGAATGTCAGTTAACCTGACAATAAAGCACAAACTACAGTGAATTTTTGTGAATTCACAGAAATTGGGTGGACGAAATTCACTGTCCATCACTGTACGTGTTTGGATTCAAAGAGAACTCAATTAAAAATTATCTTGATCTCTCGATATAATGTAGTTTATACATTTTTTTAACAAAAACTGCGCTTTATTTATACCAAACCTTTTTTTAGGTGTAGATAAGTAAATAAACATCTTATAAAAATAAAAATATTACACTTCTTCGAAAACAATATAAAACTGCTTTTATTTATTGTGATGGCATCAGACAAGTAGGTATATAAATGTCTCGTACAAATTTAGTATCTAATAATGGCTGTTTTTTAAATTTATTTTACAATTTTCTTGTTATATTTATTGCATAGGGGCACCTGGGTTCCTGGGTACGATATCTTTTATACTATAACAACATAAAAGCAACAAATTATAAACGTTTTAAGGAGCATAGTATTCTAGAACATATTCCTTAATAATACTTTTTAACAAAAATGATTTATTTGCTTTCAGAAACTTTACCAGATGCATTGGCTAGTGGTTGCACGAAATGTAACCAAAAACAAAAGGAAACAGCAGAGAAAGTTATCAGACATTTAACACAGAAGAGAGCCAGAGATTGGGAACGTCTTTCAAAGAAATATGATCCGGAAGGTCAATATAAGAAACGGTACGAAGAACACGTAGGTTCATCACGGGCTGCCTAACCTCACCACCTTCACTTGCTTTCATTCTGTAGTTTCATATTTTTGTATTCTATCGATTTCACCCCTCTAATTTCTATTCATTTGTTTGTTCAATACTTTGTATGAAATGATTACAAAAATAATAAAAGATTATTTTTAATATAAATTCTTTTATTGAAAATATTACATTGAAGGTACATTTCAATTTTATTACTTACTAAAATAAAGGTGTCTTTGGAAATATGTTTTTTTAAGTAATATAAGTGTCTGACTAATAAAGATATCACTAGGTAAACATACATGAGTAATACACATAAATTAATGTTAAGACAGAGTTCATCTTATGACTTTGATATTAAACTTTGATTAAAAAATTTCATACAAGGTTTTTAAAAATTCTAAAAGTAAATCTTACATTTCTTGATAGTCCTCTTTAATATGATTTTATGAACCTTGTTTGATCAAATTTATTTCTAATACAGGTAGGGATAAAAGAACTATGTTATCACTTAAGCTTTAATCACGGCTTATTGCTATCCTCCTTCATTTCAAATGCACTAATTAGGATATTTGTAGCCATTAAGATAATATTGAGGCAAAGTATAATATTGTTGGCTCTGTCTGCAGACTTGTGATCCCCTTCTTTGTTGAGATTGAGTGAAGTCCCCAGAAGAACACACAGGATCGCTTGTACCACCTTCGTGTCACGAAAAAGAAAAAAAAAGAAAAATAAAAATAAAAAACATAAGAAAATCAAAGTTCTGTTTTAAGAGTGGTAACGTTAACAGCAATGGCGGGATCTAACCCAAAATTCATTTTGATTACATCGCAAAATAAAGCCCCGGTCACGAAACCTAAAGAAATATGATGTAATATCCAACTTAGGTTTTTAATTTTTTCATCCTCGTATATTTGCATTATTGAAACCACGATTGAGAGCAAGGCTGCTGTCACCTAAGGAAAAATAATGGTGTTAGGCAAGAATTGTAAAATTACAGAAATAACATATTTTCTTATTCGACATTTGGCGTGATCCCATTAAGCACTCGCTAATGATATTATAAGCGAGGTGGAGCTTCGGTATGTTCGTAAATTAATCTTAGTGGTTGATTTGAATATTCCAGCCCGAAACCGGAAATAACAATATTGATTACGGAAATTAAAAAAATGAAAATAAGAATAACGTCATTTAGAATAAAAGCGGCGAAATGGTCATGTTGCTTGTTAATGTTGAGGCCTCCAATAATCACGAACAAAATAGCGACGATTAACTGAAAGAAAAGAATATTTTTACACAGAGTCCAAGGCAGGAGGATCGAAAACTGCATATTTTGCTATAGTGGGGTCAAAACACGAGATAAGTAAATTCAGAACTGTTATAACAAAAGCAAAAATTGTAGTTATGTGGTTAAGAAAGTTGGCGGAATAGTGGTAGTCTGCGAGGTGCAAACGACAATCCCTCATTAAATGAAGTGTGAGGCAGAGAAGCCCCACAAGCACCTGTAGAAATTAGTGTAAATTGTTTGACTTGTTGGGTGAATACACACCTGGAGAACTATGGATATGCTAATCAGAGTTAGCATCAATACGTAGAACTCGTGTTTTTCCCCGACTTGAAGAACATACTTCAACTGTGAGGCATTGGCAGTGAGTAAGGCAACGTCGAGGAGTCCTTGTGCTATGGTTTTCTTGGTAGCATATTTATTTGCATCCAAAGATTTCTGAAATTAAAGTATCTTGATGTAATAGTTCGTAGTTGTGAGTATTTACCAAAATATCTAGTCCTTCGCCAGTAATTATGTTCGGCAAGCCGCTTCGTGCCATAGTTTATTTCTTATAGTCTTACTAAGCTAACGCATGGTATTTTATTACAAGACCATAGTGGACTTTATCAGATTTGTTGTAAGCTTTATCATATTGATAAGATAAAGTCAAAACAATTTTAATTTCAATTATCACTTTTCTTTGTTTTTATTTGGTAAATTTCAATTAACTATCAAATTCAAGCAATTTAAAATTAAAGCTTTTATCACGAAAAACTGTCTTAAACCAATTAAGATTAGTGGGAAAAAGTATTATGTTCTAGCATTATTTGTATATACAAATTTTATGTATGTAAAAGAAATAAAAAGCAACTTCACGAAAAAAGTAAAAGAATCTAAATTAGCCCCCAAAAACACAAATTATTCGTACCTCTACCAAAAATGAAACTTTATATTTTTCTACTACAAAGATTCAATGGCGATTAGGTTTTATCACTTTATCAGTGCTATGACATGACACCCAGTCAAATTTATTATAAATAACGTTGAGATTTTCAACCTTTTTACTCGTATTACTGATTTAAAAAAAATATTACTAAAAAGTGCCTTCACACGTGTTGCACACTATACTTTTTCTACGATTGCATCAAATACACAAAAAAACACTCAAAACTCATGATTTTCTGAGACTGAAAAGCTTGTCTAGATACACAAAATTAGCATGTTAGCACTTGAATTAACATGCGTTCTGAATTCATGAAAAGTTTTGGAGTAAATGATTTCAAGTGTAGTTAGTAGTGTTTTTTTCACACTTTTCATAGCAGTCGTAGAAAAAAAAAAGTTTTAGCAACATTTTATTTATAATAATTAGAAATTTTTCAGTTTTTGGGCTTTTTTAATCGATATTGTGAGCTACAACTCCTCGGAGAACTCCACTAACAAAATTTAAAATTATATTTAATTTTCATTTAATTTTAATAATTATTTAAGCTGATGCAACAATGCGTATTTATATATTTAGTTAGCCAAAATTTTTTGGTGTTAAATTTAAATAAATCTGTATGTGGAACCCATTTGAAAAATAAATACATTTTTGGCTATTATCCATAGTAAATTATATGACCTACTGTTAAAGAAATAAATTAATAGAATAATCAAATAGAATAAACGCGCAGCTAGTAAAAAATAGCTGGGTTTTTAAAAAATTAAAATTAATAAAAATATACTGATTGACACTACCATAAAATTTAAAAGTTGTTCACCAAATTAAATGATTCGTTTTATGATGTTTACCTAAATATAGCTGATATGAATCTATAAGGTTCTCAAAATCAATAGTTTAGACCCAGCTTTTAACATTTTATTTACAGTACATACTCTAATTTTCATAACTCTAACTTATAATTTTAGGATCAATACAAGTAAATATCCAAAGAAAAAGAATATTCGTATATCAGTAGGGTATTATTGTTTATCTTCTTTATCATATTTTCATTAGATGTTTGAGTGCAAATTCTGCAGATGAGAAACAAGGAAAGGTGTTTAATTTTAAATTATAACAAGTAAATTATTAGGTATAACCTACGGTAAAAATTAGGATTAAAATTTTCTAAATAATAGGTACATAGCCAATAATAATCACTAGCATATCATGATAATTAACTCCGAAAATGACTCAGAGATATATTAAATATAATTACGCACTCACAGTTATATCTTATTTAAAGTAAAATAATTATCTTAATCCTACTTTATGTTAAAATTCTATAACTTCATCATATCAAATCATTTATAGAATTTGATTTGAGTAAATAATTTTTTTTTATTAGTTGTTAAAAAAGTAATAAAATGTAACGAATGTAGCTACTGAAATGCAAATTTGATTTACCAATATACCTAATATTAACAATTATTGTTGCAGAGTTAGTTCATTAGTACGTACTAAATAATAGTAATTAACTAACATTAAGATTAATGTAAAAAATCGTTAAATAATTGATGAACTATAATTATATTAGTATTGCCTTAAAATTAAAATTTTGTTAGAAACAGGCCAAGGTAACTTAATCAAAAGCCGGAATCTCGTTTCTTTAATAAAGTAATTTCTAAATTATGAGTAGAATAATTAGTGTGCAATATTACTGTTAAAATATGTTGGTACAATTTTCATAGCAGAAATTGAATTAACGCAAAAAAACAAATGCACTAATCCAGCGATTTATTTCTGCAAGTTTCTATAACTTTCTTCGCGAGTCTTTGAACCGAAACCGTTTCTTCTCAAAAAACACAATTATTCAAGCACATCGTAAACATCCAAAATTTTCCCACTTTCACTTTCAACAATAAAAAATTAAGTCATAACTGACTTACCAGAATATAATCGCTTATGGTATTCCCATCAGTTTGAGATCTACCAGGTTTATTTTCACTAGCCATTGTTGCAGTGGCGATGGATCACTGAACAAGCTAAATCAATTTTGGAACAATAAAAATAATGAATTCAAAAAGAGATTAGCTTTATCGTGACGTATCTGCCACTGATTGTTGATACACATCGATTAGAGTGGAGTATCGACAAAACTATTTTTTATAAGTTTCGGTTTGATGGCCACAAGGTTATTGGATTGCAGTCATTTTGCCTTTTCGAAGTGAATCACTTTCTTTGTCTTTTATAATAGTGTGAAATATTTTTTTGTTAGATCATTATGACAATGTTGGTATAATTCAGCTTTAATGACATCTCAGCTTTCTCACTGCAATATGCGACAATTGTAGTTATTATGTAAATAAAAACAATGTTTATTGTTTGAGTTTTCTGAAAATGAAAATATAAATAGAAACCACTTACTTGGGGACGATAAGCATCTGGAGAAATAGACATTTTTCTACCTGGAGATGATATATCGATCAAACGAAAACAAAAGCACTCGTTTAAATGTCTACAGGAGATAATGAACAAAACGTTGATAAAACATAATATAACGTTAATCCGTCGGACTTTCGATTAAAACAACCTTCCAGGCAATGCCGCTAGAATAAGCTCTACCACGATCAATTTTCCTCGACCAATGGTAGTGACGCTCCCTCAATGTTGTAATTGCAATAATTTTGGCTTCCAATGCAAACATATTGAGTGACTCATGAAGAGGTGACAAAGGTTTAAAACGACCCGCCGAAACATGCGAACTAGATAAGAGAATGTAGAGACTTTGCAAATAATGTCAAACCTATTAACTATCTATAAGAGCAATACGAAATGTTATTACTCTAATATTAAGCAAACTATCTCCCACTCGTTGCATTATCTCGACTTTTACACAACTTGCGACAAGAATGAAGAGATTTTTGTCGGTTGATGGCGTGTGAAAGGTGGTTTGAATATAAATAAAGGAGCGAGGGAGACGACACCCTCAGTCCTCAAGATGCCTTTGGTGAAATGGTCAGTGGTTCTTGTGATACTAATCGGAGTGGCTTACCAAGTTCAAGGCCAGTTGGGTCTTGCTGGTAACAATTACATAGAGAAGCAGCTTTTGTGCGCTCTAGATAAGGCTCCTTGTGACGCACTTGGCAATCAAATCAAAGGTAAGATACCAGTTGTTGAAATCATTCTACTTCAAAAATGGGATTCCCCTTCACTTTCATTTGTTTCAGGTGCTTTACCGGAAATTATCGGAAAGAATTGTCAACGTTGTGATTCAAGACAGGTGGCGAATGCCAGAAGAATTGCGCGATATGTGCAAACGAAATATCCTGATGTTTGGAATGCTTTAGTTCAAAAATATTCAGTGCAAAGTTAATACAGATGAAAAAAAATTTGTGGCCCATGAGGGGATCGAACCCGCGACCTTCGCGTTATTAGCACGACGCTCTAACCAACTGAGCTAATGGGCCAGTGACTGTACGTTCTTTTCACTCTGTTATAACAGTTTTTTATCTAAATTAAGCTTTGTAATAAAATTATTTATAATTGAAATCTTATTTAATTGTAATTATTTGCAACTCTTAAAATATTAGTTAACTAACCTAATCTATCTTATTTCTTGCAGAATTGCCGCTACGTATAAATAATGTATTAGTAGTTGCCTATATGTATAAACTATACCTACTTGACAAAAACTAATGCTATGTATGATTGTAATGTTATACAATACAAAAATTAAAAGTACAATAAAACTATTTTTTAAGTAGAAACTAATTTTTATCACTTTTCAGCTTAAAGCAAAGATTATATATATTTATGTATGTATATTGTTACCGATGATCTTGTATAAGTATGTTTTTTCATAATTATTCAGTAAA